CAGAATTACGGTCGGAGCATCACCGCCCCACGCACACACAGACACACACGCAGGTCTCACCACACAGCCACACAGGCCAGCAGCAGCAGCAGCAGTGGGGCACGCACCCACGCCACATCGTTAATGCTACTGTCATCATGTGGAGCAAGAAGCGTCTCACTGTTTGCAGCGGTGATGTTGAGTGAAAGCGCAGGGGCAGCGGTAGTTTGGGGTTGCTGCGAGTGGTCAGGTTCGTCCACCTTCTTTTTCGCCTCTTCTGTCTCCTCTCGCTCCACCCGGTGCGCCTTGTCCTTCAGTTGTTCGAGTTCCTGTTGGTGTGCCTTGTCCTTGAGTTGTTCGAGTTCCTGTTGGTGTGCCTTGTCCTTCAGTTGTTCTAGTTCCTGCTGGTGTGCCTTGTCCTTGAGTTGTTCGAGTTCCTGCTGGGCGCTCTTTAGTGCAACTTCAGCGGATGTTCGGGCCGACTCAATCGGCTGCATTGAAGTTTCAGCGGCTTTCAACTTCGCCTCAACAGATGCAAGGGCTTGTTGGGCGCCATCCTTCGATTTTTCACCATCCTTCGTATTAACTTCCTTGGAAGCCCACAGCGTCCATCTGGCACGGTTTAGAGCTTTGGTTGACTTTTTTAGCGCATCATTTAGCGTTTTATTCTGCTCCGCGGTCGGTGCTTCAGTAATTGTGGGTAGCCCGTCTATCGCCGCCTTCGTCGCCTTCGCTGCTACGTCGGTTTTGGTCGCCGCGGTCTCAAGCATGAGGGCAACCTCATGTGCCTTCTCCGCCGTCACGAGGGCTGCGGCCACTGCAGTCCTTGCGCCCTCCACTGCCGCATTTGCCTCTCTTTCAGTGTTCGTAGTGTAAGCCTCTGCGTCTGTCGACTCAGCCCCAGACCGGTCAAAGTACCGCAAAGCCTCGTCGGCCTTCGCCTTTGCGTTCTTGATCTTCTGCACCACACCGTCGGTATCTGAGACCGCTTGTGTAACGGCCGGCATCAATGCCGTTATCTCCTGCTTAACCCTCTCTGCATCGGCTATCTTTTTTTCCACCTTTGCAGAATCAACTTCTTGGGTTAATAGCGTCAGTTTTTTTCAGCGCGAATGCCGCCCTGGATACAGATGAAGCTACAGAAAAAACAGCCAAAGCATTCCTGCTGAGGGCACCAGCATTCTCCTTGATGACATCCACAAACTCCACAGCCATCTCCGCTGCATCCTTCGTTCTTTTCAGTCGAGAAATGGCATCGTTGGTGGAGTGCTCCTTCTTTTTTTCTGCCTCAAAAGCAGCCATCGCTTTTTCAACCTCCGCCTCCTGAAGAGGAATCCTTGCCTTAATATCACTAGAAGTTGCAGCAGACTCCTCAGTCGCAGCAGCCGTCACGCACAAGGCCGTGCAGCACAGCGCAGCTACCAGCACCCACACAACGCGGCGCATCACCACTTCCTTCGCGATAGACAGTCCCACATGCCCGCAGGGAGAAGGAAGAGACACACATCAGATGGCACACGCACACAGACAGCAACAGGAGAAAGCAATAGTCGAAGTCAACACACATCGTGGCGCATTCCACAGTGAGTGCAGAAGTAAAATAAAAGAAAGGCTTAGTGGCATAGCCCAATGAACCACGTGAAAACAAAGCCCCAACAACCCAAAGGAAAGAAAAGATGAAAACGAACCATTGCGGCAGCCCAAGCGCCAATTTGCATAGATGGTTGTGTGTTATTTAACTCCTGCCTGATAGCGTCCCTCTGTGCAGTCGGCGGGGTGTAGCGGGAGGCGGTGCGGCCCTCCACGACACGACACAGCGCACAGGAGGAGGAGCGGCAGCAGCAGCAATGGAAAGAAAAGAAAAGAAAAGAAAAGGGCTGCAGCAGCCAAAGGGGTTGGCCCGCAGGG